ATTTATAGGACTTCAGAATCAGGTGACTTCATATTTTCCTGTTGTCTGGGGAGAAGACCAAGAAGCAAAAGTGGCCCATAGTGAAGGAATAAGGAAATATGAATGATAGAAAATGTTGTAATTTTTCATTTGTATATGAAGGTTGGCCTCTAGTTGTTTGCTGCTAATTTAATGCAAGAACTTGCGAGAATAGCTAAAATCAATAAGCAGAAGATGTAAAGTTTAAAATTTTAGAAAAGATTTTCTTAGAAGTCAGAAACTGTTTATTACAATGCAAGGATATCTACTTTGGAGAAAGCTGCTAAGATATGTTATTTTTTCTACACATCTACTCATTAGCCAACTTCAGGCTAATGCAATTTTTCTAATATTTTTCTAATATTAACCTAAAGGATACAGGGCTTTCTAGGAGAGTCATGAGAAAAGGCTGTGTTTTTGTTAGGAATTTTTCTCACAGTATTAGGAATTAGAAAAGAAATACTTCAATAATATCAATGTATTTAATGTTAAAATAATACTAATATAACAATTTAAGCATGAATAATATTTACAGACATAAACATATATATGTTTGAAGGTATCTGGCAAATACAGTTGAAGAAGATGATGAAGAATCAAAATATGACATTTTCCCATGGGCTTTGGGAAAAACCTGGAGAAAACTCTTCCCTGATTTCTTAAAGTTAAGAGATCAACTGTGGAGTAGAATTGACTACAGGGCTATTGTAAGCAGACGTTGCTGTGAAGAGGTAGGGAGGGTTTTAACATTGTAAATACTGCAACTACAATAATTGATACCAACTAATAGTCTAGCTCCATAGAAGTAATTTCTTCTCTAAAATGTGTAGCTAAACTATGGGAAACAAGAGAGGCATCTAAAATGTCATGTCATGATTTAGAGACATCTAAAATGTCACGAACTGGGAAGAGTATCTGATAACCCAGAGGACTGCGCAGCCATCCAGAGGGACCTGGACAGACTGGGTAACTGGGCAGTGAGAAACCTTATGAAATTCAGCAAAGACAAGTGCAAGGTCCTGTACTTAGGGAGGAATAACCCCAGACACCAGTACAGGCTGGGGACTGACCTTCTGGAGAGCAGCTCCGGAGAGACGCGATTCCTGTGTCCAGTTCTGGTCTCCACAGTACCAGAGGGATGTGGAGATGCTGGAGAGAGTCCAGCGCAGGGCTACAAGGATGATCAGGGGCCTGGAACATCTGCCCTATGAGGAGAGACTGAGGGAGCTGGGCCTGTTCAGCCTGGAGAAGAGAAGGCTTGGAGGGGTTCTGATCAGTGTCTATAAGAACCTCAAGGGAGGCAGTGAGGAGGGTGTGCTGGCCTCTTTTCAGTGGTGGCCACCGACAGAACTAGAGGGAATGGCCACAAACTGAAACATCAAAAGTTCCACAGAAACTTAAGGAAAAAATTCTTAACAGTGAGGGTGACAGAGCACTGGAACAGGCTGCCCAGAGAGGTTGTGGAGTCTCCTTCTCTGGAGATCTTCAAAACCCGCTTGGACGCAGTCCTGTGCCACGTGCTCTAGGTGACCCTGCATGTGCAGGGGGGTTGGACTAGATGATCTCTAGAGGTCCCTTCCAACCTTAAGCGTTCTACGATTCTATGACCCATTTATCTTCTTTCAAAGTTCTTCTGTATTCAAACTACACTCTTTGAAACTCTATTTTTACAGAAAACTGCACTGTTTTGCATTGTGCTACTGTTAAAAGTAAAGTTTCTGTTGACAGAATTCTTCTGTTTTATGCAAATACTTTTAGTTAAAACTTACCATTGGCTGCTTGACTTAATTCACTTTACAAATATTTACAAATAAGATCTTCAAATAAAATAACTATCACCTCAAGTTAGATTTTAATCCCATCTTTACTTTGTAAGATAATAATTTTTCAGTGCATTTCATTTTTTAAAAAAGCCAAAAGGATAAATTTCTAACATTCTCAACATTCTCTTGCAATTAATGCATTATTTTAACCTTTTTTTTTTTTTCAAATTTAACACAGGAAAAACACACTCCTCACTTTTCAGATGGAATATCTCTGTCTGGAGTAGCTTTGTTATGTTGCAAGAACGTAGTATGCACTGCCATTTATGGCAAACAAAATATCATTTACTCCAGCATCCCATCTCTGGTCATGGGATTAGGTGCATATGGAAGAAATGCAAAGGAGGAGGCAAGCATATGCCCAGCACACCCTCCCAGCGATCATGGGAGGATTCTGATAATCATTCAGTAATTCTGTGATTACTTTACAGGCTTTGTGAGCCAGCATCTGGATCACAATTAATAATCCATGAAAGACATCATCTTCAGCACAGCATACTAAGCATAAACTGCTATTTGTGGTGGCTTATGTGAACACAGAGCTGTAAAGTGTAGTGTTTCAACATCCGATTCGTAACTGGTTCAGTTATCCTTGCCTAGGGTAGCAAACTTTCTAGTGAGATGGAAGCAGGTAGATAATAGATATCATATATTATCTATCATCACCTCACCTGTCTATTCTTAATTCTGTACCACACATGAATTGGATCCCTTGTTTTCAGCTCTGTGCTTGCCAGCTATTTTGATGGTCTCTGATGAATGGCTGTTCTGATAGGTCATGGCTATTGCTCCAACACATTACATATGGCAGCGAGAGCGCTCTATGCACCACAGCGGAGCTGTGAGAAACTATAACAAAGAGGAAGTACAGCTGCCACGAGGACCCAGTGCTACTCCTGTAGACTGCTTGCTTTGTGGTAAGAAAGGAAGATTTGTAGGACTAGGATTATCATCATCTTCCTCTTCATCTGTGGGTACTTTTGAGATGATGGAAACACATCTGTCCCAGGATTTGAAGGACACCTTGCCAATTGAAAAAATGATGGTTGATCCTCCTTTTTCTTATGCACAAGGTATGATTTAATAGTGCAAGCAATTTTCAGTTAGTTGGTTTAGATCCGTATTAATAAACCCCACCTCTCTGTATGATTTATAAACACTCCTAAAAATTTTATGTGCTTTATTCAACTAATGACAAATTGGCCCTTTTGACTTCTGAACGGAGCGCTATGTCCTTCTTGGTATGTCAAGACACGAACTCCATTGTGTTACCAGAAACCTGTTATGAATGCGGTTACCTTGGTAACACTGTGCTTTTCATGCCATAGATTGTTTCATTTCTACAGTGTCATTCTCTGATACCCTTTTCCTTTAATAGTTACTAGAATTTTCTGTTATTTCTCTTGCTTTATATTAACCAAATGGAAAATGAGAAAAAAAAAACTTTACAGGTGTACTTCCTGTACAGGTGTACTTGGACATAATCATAATGTTTTGAGAAAGGCTGTGAGCTTCCCTAATGTTCTGACTCTTCACCAACTCAGTAAAAAGTGAAAGGAACCAGCATGATTTTACATTTACAATAAAATGTGAAAACATCTAGTTGATGGCTAATGTTGCATTATCAGCATGTAGTCACTTCACTTTTATGTAGGCTGTATGCTACTCATTATTTTGGGTAAATTTTTATAGTAAAGAGGCAACAGTCTCAGATATTTTGGTACAAGGAAAGCCTGTTCAAGAGCTGGCATCATATCTGAAGCCATTTTTGCAAAAATAAGTTGTTTTAATATATCATGCTTCACCCCCCAAAAAAAAACCAAAAACAAAACCCTACTTTTTTCATGTTTTGCCACTTTTGATTTCTCACAAGTACCAACTGCCTTGGTTTGCCCAAGTCTGTTCAAATTATCCTTACCTACTCTAGCAGGTTTTGGAATCTGTTCTAGACTAGACCCTGATTTGCATTCTTACATTATAAATCAAATTTAATTTGTATTTTAAGCAGTTGTGATTGGTTAGAAGAACAGTAAAATAACTGTATCATGCAAATTAGAAGATCTTCAGTGCCAGTAGGGCAAGCTCCTCAACGACTATTGTTATTGTTAAAATTATATAATGCAATAGAAACTCTGCACATAAGGCTACTTAAAATTAGTTGCCTGAGCTTCATTATGAAAAGCCTCTATTACGTAGAGTACTTATCGAGCAAAATTAATTATTTTGCTGTTAAGAGAGTAAAAGATTTCAGATATAAACTTCCTGGAGGAGCTGTATATGGCCTCACTTCTACAAAGATATGTATATGTACTCAACCAGTGCAAAATTAAGAATGAGAGATTAAATGGTTATAGCTAATTTACATCTCTATTTTGTATTTCAATATGTTCTTATTTTATATGCAACTTTTCATTATTACAGTAGGATTGTGTTAATTGTTATTGAGTGACAGCTTCAATACAACTATTATTCAAAAGGGATCCCTTTCAACCATGAAAAGTTTTCATTTGAATGTTCTTTGAAATACAGAAGTGGTCAGGTGATTATATCAACTATTTCATAAATTTAATTGGTTAATCATTACCATAGGCATAATGGACTCTTATGCGAGACCTTAAGTCCTTCTGTTCCTCCTTTCAGTCTAGTATTTTAACTAGACAGCTACTGCATTTTACATCTGACAAAGCTCAAAACAAATTTTGTTCAGCATGCACCATGTACTCTCAAATGTTCAAAATGAAGTTCACAACTGGAGAACTTTCAGCATGGTTGCTGGAAATGAACTTGTCAACAGCTGGTCATCTTCTTGAAGTAAATACAGTTTTATCAAGAAGCACAAATTCAGTGTATTTCAGTTTCTATTACAGTACTGCAAAGCTATTTCTTAAAGAAATTGAGCCACACCAATGAAGGTAGAAGCTGTTTCACTTAAACTTCAAAGGGCAGAATTTGATCCATTATTTTCTTACTAATATTTTTTCTCCTAATTTCTGGTAGACTATCACAGCTTGTCCAACAAAAGACGACGAGGTAGCATCCTGAACCAAGACAAATCCATGGAATGGTTTACAAGAAATGAAGAATGAGGTACATCAAATGAGACAGAAACAGAAATTCCATTCTTTGTGGAACAATCTACATTGGATAGCAGTATCATACACGACAAATTCTGTTAAAACCTTTCCTTCAAATAGTTCATGAGATGTCAAAGTTCATATGCAGTAGAAATCAAAGCAGTAACTCTTTAGAAGTTAAACAATTTGCAAAACATAGTGGTCATTTTCTGATGTTTTATTTTATTCCAGTACAATACTCAATTAGCAGCTGACATCTTAGCAACATCAAGAAAGTGGTAGTTGAAACTTTCTCAGCTTGGTGAGGAACGCTAATTAAAAAAAAAAAAAAAAAGCAACAAAACATATCACTACTTCAGTATTTCAATATTTATTGTTATATAATGAAACCATAAAACTTATAGTAACATGTCAAATACTGGCACAAAGAGAGTATTTTTGAAAATAAAGTACCACTAAATATTTAAGATAAAAACAAACAAAAAAAAATTCCAAACTTCTCACCTGAATGAGGATCCTGCCAATAAGATGGTCTAGCAACATAAGGCACTGAGGAGCATGTTTCAGCATTGTCAGAAAGTAATTCTGTGAAAAGTATTCATTTTTTTAGTATTTCCAACAGCTTTGAAAAGTACAGATATCAGACTAGAGTTATCAAGGTGTTTTACTTTTCCTTGCTATCTTTTCACCTTTTCTTTTTTCCCTTCTGTTAAACTGCATTGTTGTCCTTTTTTTCTTTTTTCCCCTCTGGTATATATTTTACAAATCTGTGCTAGAACAACATGTATATTTTGGATTTTCCAGATAGCAAAAACAAAAGATTACAAAACAAAACACATGGGTATCATGCTCCCCATGGAATTCTTAAACCCACGAGGCTCCTTTAAAGCAGCAATGGGCTGTGTATGGATAAATGAATTTTATATACATAAAAAGTAGCTGAGAACAGCAATAAAGACACTCATTCTTAATTTATAGACCACAAGTTGTGTTTTAGTTTACATTTTTAATAGGATCTTTAAGGAGCCATTAATACATCATTTTTTAAACCTGCTGAGGCAAAGATTTCTAAAATTTGGTATATTCTTCATGACATTTTCTTAGCTCAACTAAGAAAAGATACTGCCTCTTCCTATGAACTTTGCTTTCACTCTATCCTTAGACTATCACATTGCAGTAACAGTGTAATTCATTAACAGTAATGTTCTTACCATCATATTCATTTCCTTTGAGAACTGCTTGATCCTGAAAATGGATTTCCTCACATTCTTTCTGTTGAGGTTCTTCCTCAGTATTTTCTTGAGTTTCCATTATTTTCGTTGACTTGGAATTCTTGATTTTAGCAGGGATTACTAACCAATTTCTGTGTGTTACGTCTATGATCTTTTCACACAAAAAAGGGAGCTTGCAGGTCTGTATTCTGTCTAAAAGGGCAATAACCTGTGTGATGCTTTTGGAGAAACGCAAAGGATAAAGCAATATTTTGAAAACTAAAATCAAAAGATCAACTGCTGATTTGAATTTTGTTGCCTTTGTCATATTTTTTACTTTTGAGTTGACCTAAGTCCTTAAATTTTAGGGTAAAGGAGCCGGAAGTGTGACTACTGAATTAGAAAACAATACACAATTATTTTGGAGATGTTGTTAAACATCCACTGTCCAGAGCGGGAATGTTCTCTAAGTAAAGATTATACCAAGTGTAATTTATACCAAATACAGCTCCTTAAAAAAAAAAAAACTTTTGTTTAATGTTAAATGTTTTGTTAAACATTTAATTAATGTTAGCTGTATATTTTAAAATGTTTTTTTTAAAACAATTCTAGGTGATGCCAGAATACATTTGTAAATGCCAGAATTAAATACTTACTTTGCTAAATACACAGCGCACACACCACCATGTTTGAGACTTGGGCATATAACAGGCAGAGCAGCCTGAGGGTTAAGCATATCCAGAACTATCTGCAAGAGAAAGATATTTATGTTTCTAATAAACTTCAACACATATATCCAGTTTTCTATAATAACACCACCTGAAAAACTGTATGGAAAATGAATGCAATACAAAAGCAGTATATTATTGCCAAGATGATTTTTAGTCCTGTCTTTGAAGAGCTTATGGAAACGTGAGATCCATACATTTAAAACAAATTCAATGCTACTTGCAAATGAATTTCTATTAAATGAGCAAGTCACATTTAACCAATATTGTAGTCCTGTACTAATTTTAAAACTCCCAATAATTGAATTATTTAAGTTGACATCACTATAAACCTATAAAAAACAATATAAACATGTACTAACATCTTTGGATATCTACTTTTCAGGTGATAAAAACAAAATCTTCAGATGCTTCCTTATAATGAAAAGACGATACCGAAGTCTCAATGCCCAACTTATCGTTTGTTTCAGAGCTTAGCAAACTTTGGTATTATCTGCATCTGCTGGAAACCTATTCCAACAGTAGAACAGTTGAATATGCAATGTCTGATCCTTCTTCTGGATTGGTACATTTAAAAATTTCAAAGATGTTATTTTTACAGTAGCCATTTTCTTTCTTTACTCAAAGTGTTTAACAACACTTCAAACAAATGACAGTTATATTATAACTAGATTGCCTACTTTATATGGGAGGGTGATATTTTCCAGTCGTTTCCCCCAGCACATCTCCTTTTTATGAAATTGGGATATAAAAAGCAGACAAGCTGGCTGTATCATCCCTTACTCAAATGTAGATCTTACTAACATTATACACTCTATGTACCTGACTTAAAATGTTCACATATAAATATTTTCAATAAGCATATGTACTTTTCTTAATGTTTGAAAAAGGTTTTTATCTGATTAGGCTACAAAATACAAGTATGTCTTTGCTTATCAGTCCTGCCTAAATTGTAATATTTCTATATTATGGACTTGTCACCCTTTCATTTGGGAAAGTATAGCTAAACTTTTGAAAATCCTTAGAGCACAATCAGATGAAGAAAAACCTCACAGTGTTTTCTTGATGAGGATCTGACTGTTCTTGCTAATGATAAACTAGATATATGAGTTTCCATTGCAAGTGAAAAATAAGATTTAAATATATGTAGAAAAGATAAATGTTGTGTCATTGATATGGGGATTTTTTGGACTTACTGCATCAAATGTTACAGATTTCATATCCTCAGCAGCAGTTGTAATGTCCTTAAGAATGAAATCCACGTTATCTGGCCACTCTTCCATATGTCCTATCTCCCATGAAGCACGCCACTGCCTGTAATTCTTCTTAGCTAAATTGTAGTGATCTTCTCTGATTTCGTAACTTATGACGCGTCCTTTGGATCCAACTTCAAACAAATACAGCATACCAAATTTACTACTTTCTCCCATGTGCAGTAAAGGATTTAGAAAAAAGCAGCATAGTAAAATGACAGAAGTTGTACATGTTTAAATCTCCACTTCAAGAAATAATTACATATAATCAGTTACAATTTATTATTTCTTTACATTGAAAGCAAACATGCATAGACAAAGTGCTGGATAATTATTTTATAGACTGACATCCATCAATCCACAGATAAAATAAAGCACTATATTGTAGTACCAGCTGTTCCTAAGATGCCCTCCCAGAGCACCTCTTGGAGTAGACATGACTTGAGCATTTGGGCCCCAATTAATTTATAGCCTTCTGCTGTACCTACCAGTGGGGGCAGCTGAGAAGGCTGCAATGTTGGTTGCCAGTTGCAGGGGTTAGGAGCGGTAGACAGTTGATTGCTCTTCTTCCTATTAAGTTTTGAAACCGGCAGTTTAAAATTCTCTGATAAGCCTATTTTTCACACAAGCTGGTTATTTTCTGTGCAGAGTTTGTCCTTTTTTTCCCATCTTAGGGGAGAAGAAAGGATAAGAACTGCTACAATCTGCTAACTCATCTTAAGTTTCTCAAATGTGCTCTTTGATCTGCACATGCTTGTGTTATTTTCAGGCTATTGTTTATAACTGTAATAAATATAAATTATTTTATTATTTAAATTGTTGAAGTATAAATTATCATTCTGAAATACACAAATACAATATGTATATTCTTCATAAAGGAAGTGTTATGAGGATATCCAAGCACAGACAGCAATGCTTATATTGCTATATTATTCTGATTCTTGCAAAACCCTCATCCTGTTAGTCTTTCTCCCCGCTAATTCTTAATGGGCGCAGGAAGCTTTCAGCAACCAAAAGGTCTCCAGATAAGGTTCTCAGACATTTTTAAGCCATTTGAAGTTTGGGCCACCAGGTTTCTTCTCTATTACTCATTTGATCCCATTGTGAATCCATTCAAAAAACAAATGCAGCAAAAGCAGGAATGGGCTTTCTGCCAATTTTTACCTGATCTAGCTAACTCTGGATCAGAGGCCAGGGTAAGGAAGGAGGATTTCAGTAGTGCCTTCCTAGATCACCTTAAAGAGTTGTAGAATTGCGAATTCCTTTTGACTCAAGAATTATCAGTTTGGAAGTGTTTGAAGAAACAGATTGTGGGGAACAGAATAAAATCTTCTTGCTTCCTCTGCACATCCCTTCCCTTTTCATTTCCTATATTTTGAAATTGAATTTTGAGAAAATAAGAACAAGGAATTAAAACAGCTGGACAAAGCCCTTTATTATCGTGATGTTTCAGAATGGTACGCTCTAGTGTGTACAATTCACTGAGCCTAACTGTTCCTAACTTTAATTTTATCCTCAGTAACACGTCCTGGCATCCCAAAACAGCTTGAATGGTGCTACTGGTAACATATTTGCTGCATCTTCCTCAAAAAGATTCTGCTAAAAGAACTTGTGTTGTTATTAATGCATGTGAAAAGACTGTAGAGCATTGCTAAATGGGAGAGTAAAGAAAAATTCACTTCTTTTAGTTCTAAGGTTATTTAACAGTCTTAAGCCAAAAAAAAAAAAAAAAAGGAGTGATTTGTTCAGTTTGTTCCCCACATAAGAATGAAAGCATTATTTTTTTTTAAGCTGGAACTGATACCAGGTTTAATCTCAAGGGAAAATAGTAACTTTTGGGCAGGCTAGCTTTCCAAAGCAGCCACTAACAGAGTCAGATGGTGCAAGTGCAAGGCAGGACAGCCCAGCCAGGTGCAAAGGCTCTCTACCTTTCGGAGCATCTACACCTAGATCAAATCAGGCTGGGTGTAATATAAAAACAACAGTGTATCCATGTAGCCATTTTCACCAAGCCAACAATTTGACTATTCATGTGGTGCAGCAATGGGAAGAAAAGAAAATGGGGAAAAGCAGGGAAAGGAAAGGAAAAAAACTAAATTTAAGCCAAAACCTCAAAAAAAGAGGCTGAAATGCAGCTTTCTACAGTGACCGGGGCTGGCACCTTCAGATATCTAGTTTCAGTGATGGTGGCCTGCAGCGATCCTTTGTAAAAGAGGCTTCAAAATAGAGTTGAAACAGTCTGCAGCCTGGGTACTGGCTCTACATTGATCTAAAAATCAGCAGAACTGACCTAAATATGAAAATTGCAGCGAAACTTAAAAAACTTACTTCAGATTTTTGATTATAAGAAAGGCCACAAATAATGGGAGAAACATACTCCTCTTTCGCTTGCTAAATCCAGGACCTTACCCGCTCTTGACAGAAACAGGCTCAGTGCACCAGATCCGCTGCCACTCTCCAACACGGTGTCCCCTGGGTGCAAGTCCATCATGGTGAGCATGGCGCTCACATCCTGCGGGGTACAAGGCACGCTCTGTTAGCGGCCTGCTGGAGGGGGCGACCGCAGGGCGCCCTGCAGGATAGGCGGCAGGGGAAGGGGGGTACCTTGGGGTAGGCGATGGTGGCGGCCCGCGCCATGAGAACCACGTACTCCTCGAGCGATGGTCGCCGCACGAGCAGCTTGAGGCCTCCCGCCGTCTGCACCAGCTGCCCAGGCAGCCGCCCCACGATGTCGCCGTGTGGCAGGAGGCC